CCCCCTCCCGGCCCCCTCCCTTCCTCTTGCCGTCTCTCAGTCGCTCTGCAGCCTCCGGCGACTGGGGGGATGTGAGGCCGGCGCCCCAGCCCCCAGCCCCGCCATGAGCCCCCCGCTCTGAGGGCCGCGGCCCCTGGATGCACAGTCCCCGCGCTGGTGAGTACCGGGCAGCCGCCCCCAGCCCCGCCCGCCCCGCCCTGCGCGGTTCCTCAGCTCCGTCCGCCCGGCTCGGGCTCGGACTCGGGCTCCGGTTTGGGCTCCAGACTCCCCGCGGCCCGGCCCCGCGTGCGCCCCCCGTCCGCGCCCGCCCTACCCGGCTCCGCGGGGCTCGGGCCGGCTCCCAGCCGGGGCTGGTTCCGGGGCCGGAGGGCTCGGGCCTCCCGCTGGGCGCCCACATCCGCCCGCCCCGGGGCAGCGACAGGCCCGAGGGAGGGAGTTGGAGGCCCCGGCCCGCCGATGCTCAGGCCCGGGGTCCCTTCACCCCCATTCCTGGGGAGGACGGAGCGGGGGAGCGGGGAACCGGGCAGGGAGGACGGCCACCGCGGCCCCGGGAGGGGGCGGTGCTCCGGGGCGGAAGGTTTGGAAGCGCGAGGGCAAAGGGCAGGACCCACGGAGTTGTGACCGGGCCGGTGGTGCTGGACATCCCATCTCGCGGATCCCGGCGGGGCCTTGCCGCGACCCCTCGGCTGGGGCCAAGTGACCCCCTGGATGGAGGGTCCGGGACTGGGAGGTTTCTCTGAGCACCGCCCCGCACCCTGCTCTCACCCACTAGGGTGAAGAGACACCTGTGCCCCAGTGCGCTGCGGAGGGGCTGACAGAGGTAGAACCGCAGGCGGTGTCCTGAGTGTTGGGGACAGGATGTGCGCACCCCCAGGCCTGGGGTCTGCTGGTGCAGGGAAGTGTGAGAACAGGCTGCAGATCTGGAAGCTGGGCTGGGCTCTGACACGGGGAGTTTCTAGACGTGTGCGCTGAGAGAGAGCTCTCTGGGGCCTGCAGGCCACCCAGGTCCCCCCAACCCCTTTTTCCTTCCCTCTGGCTGCCCATTCGGATCTGCACATTTTGGATCTGACCTCGCCAGCCACTGCTGCTCCTCCCACCCAGTCCAGGCCATTCCCTAGTCCCTGTTGGCTGTCCTGCATACCCAGAGGCCTCCCCCTGCATCTGGACACTGGCCGTATTGCTGCTGCCCATCCCTCCCCACACACCAGTTCAACATCTGCTTGAGGCCCAGCTTGGCCTGCCAATTTCTAGGGTGAGAATGGGGCATTGGGTTTTAGTGGCCCTGCTGAGGACTCAACCTCTGGACTGTTCAGCCCGTTCCTTCGGGACTTGCCCCTGGACCCAGGGTCTTCTTTAAGACTCCTTCCCAGGCACTGGGCTGAAAGAAGAGAGACTGTGACTCAGTTTCCCACCCCCTAACGGGGCACCTTGGCAGCCCATTTCTCCCCAACAGGACCCTTCCATG